AGAAATATAACAGAACTTACGTTAAAGCTACTTTTCTATCTATACACTGTTCATTTTAAGTCTTTAGGGCAGGTACAAGGGGAGTCACAAGTAGCAAATTGGAATTTTATTTCAAAACTGTGTCACTAGTGTTTTCCATAAATCCATTATATTATTGATTGTTCTGGCAACGTACAATGTCAAAACTTGAATGTTTTTCCTTTCAAAGCTGAAGTCCTCAAGTCCTTACTTAAAGGTCCAGTGTGTAACATTTCAACAAGAAAGGAATCATTATGGTTTTGTTACTTTAACATGAGGCTTTTATATCTATAGACGCTGCGGGTCCTCTTCCATGGAGTCCGCCAGCTTGAACTGTGGCTCTAGATAGGGGTGTTCACCTTTCTCGGCCACCGTAGTTTCTCCTTAGTGCTTGAAAGGGGAGGGTGAAATGAGGATCTGCAACTAATCTAAGTCGAGTCGAGGTCTAAAGTTTTAAGTCTGTTCTTTCTGATATTAATCTTTGCGTTGCCTTTCTCAGGCCATAGAGTTCACATGGAGCTCCCTAGTCCTCGGCCGTCCGCCCCCTTGCTGCCTTGTAGACATTCCTGACAGCGTCTCCTCTCTCTGTCTGAGGCTTCTCTCCGGACAGCTGGGTCTTAAGCAACATGATCCCTGCTCAGCAGCGCAGGCCCTGCCGACACTTTGTGTGTATATATACAGCGAGTGTGTGTGGCTGTGTATATCCAATACACACGCATGTCTTAGATATGAGAGGTGCCACATTCATACAATTCTCATTGAAAAACAGGCCCACAAAGAGAGAGACTATATCTATATTTGGGAAAATATTGGCTTACTCTGACATACGTTGAGTTTGTTGGTTGTTGTACTTGTTGTTGACTTTTTTTTCTATATTTACGGAGTAGCGGATGTGGTCTGGACATAGAAAGCTATTAGGTTGCACCAAGGGGATGTCCCACAAACAGAAAACGTGGAGTCAACACTCTCACACTGTTTTGGTGTCGTAATCTCCAAAAAAGTGTCCCTGAGTCCCATGATTCCTGACAAGGAGTTTTTAAAATCAAGTTAGGTGTAGATATTGTGAGTGGGCAGATAGGCCTGAAGATGTTGGTCTGGGGAGTTCATTCCTGGTGACTCAGAAGATAGAAATTGACGTCTAATAAAAAAAACAAAAACACTGGTGTCATGGCTACAGATGATCAGGAGAATGACGCCTTTGTGGATAAGATAGGGTGGGGGGAATTTGTCCAGTTTGTCCGCAGACCAGATCTGGGAATCAGATGACCTTTACTTGCATGATGGGAAACAGCAGTGAACCATTGGGAGCTGGACTCTGGCCAGGCACTTTTATAATTGTTCCTCTTTTGCAGCCCACTTTTGATTCTCCAGAACTTCTATTTACCGTAGAAACCTGGTGACACTACATTACCTAAGCTATGGCCTGAGGGTGTGTGTCTGTCTCTGTATTTACTAAAGTATGTGCTCAGGTATGCACTCACCTGAGCCATGCGTCAGAAAGGGAAATGCCAAGAGAAGTTATCTCCAGTAAGAGAAGCCAGTGAATAGCGCTTCTCTGAGATAATCCCATTCCTATGGTCTAAAAAAACTAAATAGAAGGCATAGCTCATCAGAAAGATTCATGACACAGATCTTGGAGGTTGTTAGTAATCTCCTGAGGCTTTGCCTAACATCCTGGTAGTCTCTGCTGTTTGGGTTTTTGGAGGTTTTTATTTACACGAAGCACGAGTGTTGTGTCCTGCTGTCGTCAGATTGGACTCTGACGGGAAGAGCGAGCGAGGAAATGACACAGCAGGTTAAAATGAAACAAAGGTGCAAGTTCCTACATAGTAGTGGCTTACAGGAAACAGAGTGATACTCTCATTCAGCGAGCCATGACGCATACCTGAGCGAACCCGTAAATTGTGCTGCGGGTGTTAATATCTCATCAAGCTGTGCTACCAAACCTTAAAGCGCTATTACTTTTTGAAATGCCCAGACAAGCTCTTTATGAGTTGTGAGGACACACAAATAAGATTTTATTAAAAACAGACCTGTCATCACGGTCTGAATCACAACTTGCCTATATTTAGACTCTGAACCTCCCATCTATGAAATTGAGAGCCTTTCATTTTCCAGTCTAGAAAAAGATGATTCCACCATGGTTAGATCTTTATTTCTTTCATCCCTTTGCCACAAAGTATCAACCATATTTAACAAAATAAGGGTCTGCTTGTTAGCCTTTTCAAAGCTTTTCTCAAGCCAGGTTTTTTAATAAATAATAAGATTTCAAATACCACCAAAACCAAAACCAAAAGATATTTATGACTAGACTAAATTTGTCATTTTGGTTGTTTTCATTTTATTAATTTAACTGTTCAGTTTTTGTTTGCTGATTATCTACCTAAATCCTTCTCCACATTTGAATAGAATATAAATCTGGTTGCGGAAATACTAAATCCCATCTTTATATTTTAAATGTTTTGTCTAAAAACAATCAAATGTAATGATATTTAGTCTAACAAATATAAGTTTAATTAAATTAAAACCAAAAGTGTACAATTTATGTGTAACTAATGAATGGAAACTACACCCTTAACCCTCCAATTCTCTATACTACTCTATACTGAAGACACAACCTGACACAGGCTGAAAGAAAGAAATCACAAAAACATTTAAAAAAATGTCTACTTTTAATCTTAACTCTGACTTTTCCAAACACGATTTGCTCGACAAAAAATAATCTGACATTTCTCCTCTTATATTTATTCAATCTCTCTCCGTACCGTACAGTGCTTTGATCGACTTAGTCATTTTTCATGTTGAGGAAAGTGAAGAGGACAATATTTATATTTATATGTGCATAGAGATATTCTAGAGTAATGCGGTCCGTATCTCCAGATGACGAAATGGGAGTGAGACATGTTCCTTCTGGCCTTCACCTCACAACACCCCACTCAGCTGTTACTCCATACACACTGCATCAGCTTGTCAGCACCACATCTCCTGTTTACAATAAATGCCTCTGAATCAGACTTTTTGTCCTGCTCGGTTAAAAATCTGAAGATTAATTGAAGATGTGTGAAGGCGTCTTGGCGCTTGTTTCACATCCTCTCTATTTGTTGCATTTATCTTTATCCTCAAGAATGTAACAATGCAGTCACTATTGCACAGCCATCCACATAATGACGGCCTATGGAGCGAGCGGTGACGCTGAGGCTACAAGTATCCTCTCAGTGTGTGTGAGTGCTGCGTCAGAGGATGTTTACACAGCCTGGAATCAGAGAGGAAGACCCAGTGTGTGTCCTTCTGTTGGTGTTGTGTGTATGTTGTAAAGACGACAGCCTTACATTTTGTGGGTAGATGTACATGACGTCTTTTATCAGCCACTGAAAACACTGTGAGAATGATGTAAAATGCATTTCACAAGTTGCTTAAACAACACTTTTCTGCATCAGATTGTTTAGAAAAGAGCAGCACAATCTGAATGACAAAACCCCCCATGTGGCCCTTGGCTCGGGGCCCAAAAGGTGTGTATGTGTGTGTGAGATTAAAGTGGTGCCAATTTGTGAAGCAGTATTTTTAGAAAGGAGGCCCGTCCGCTCCGGTAATACTCCTCAGATCAGTCTAACCCTTTGATGCGTTCATTGTAGTGTGATCCTACTTCAAAGCTGCACACAGGGATGGGACGGGACGGGAGGGGGTGTGAATACACTATACACTTCATTACTGCGCCCCCCGAAATTCGGCTTTCTGTCACCTCTGACCTCTGGGCATTTGTGCTCATAACACACTTCCACTCCAGAGGATCCACGACCGGAGGTATTTATGTGCAGGAGGCCTCAGGGCAGAGAGGATGTGTTTGTTTTTTTGTGTCCACAGAGTTTTCTTGTTCCACTGTTTTAGCTCCAACACTGTGGATCAAACTCCCCCTCAGTATCAGATCAAATGAGTCTACATAGACTGACATTAAACTTCAATCTAATGGTTTTATGTTGTTCTTTTTATTTTGTTGTAAGCTTTACCATTCCCTGGAATACTTGTATTTCGTGGTATTGTACTGTATGTGAATGTATGAAGCACCTTTTGAAAGGTGCTATGGAAATACATTTTTTTTTTTTCTAAATTGAATATTTTACAAGGGGGCATTATCATTCCTTAGAGACTTTGTATGAAGTTATAAATCACTAAACCCAGGTTTTAAAACTTTACCTACTTCAAATAGAAGACAACCGTCTAACATCAATCTTACTAGCATTACTAATTGTTTCACATCAACTTTTTAATCTGCATTTTACTATCTCTCTTTTATAGGCCTCACAAGGTCTTCTGAGAATGACTGAAGCCATGCTCACTGGGTTTATAACAGTAATTAAATAGGTGTGTACCCAGTGTGACATCATGTTCATTCATGATAACAGGGGCAGTAAAGTGGACTTCCTGTGTGTTTTCTCTGCCTTGTAAAGAACAGAGGCTTCTGATAAAGAGGGTGTAAAGGAATTTGTCATCTGAACACCTGATACTGTAGAAAACTGCCCAAATTTAAACTCAAACCAATGTCAGCTTTTGTTGAGCTCATAGTCAGAGACACCACAACTACAGCAGATTAAAATCACACACTTTTAGCATGATATCAGCATGTCTACCTTTCACCTACCACACCTCGGAAGCAGTTAAGGTGTGTTCAAAGGCACCACTGAGTCTTTTAAGTGTCCCGTGCTGCTGACTAAATCTGCTCCGCTTATCAGTTATGACTCAAGCCTGAAACCTCCCAGTGACAATAAAGAGTCACATTCCACCTGCCAGCAGAGAGGAAAGGGACTTTCCTGTCCACTCCCTTTTCACTGTTGCATGTCTGGCATTTACTAAGAAATGCTGCTTGCGGAAAGAGTCCCTGAATGTCAAATATACTGTTACTGACTCTATAATGCTGTAACCTTGACACCAAGTAGAAAAGTTTCGAGTTGAGAAATGAAAAATAAAAAGTAGAGGAGAGCATAAAGTTATGTCAAAAATGCATGAATATTTATTCAAATAAATACACACTCATCACAAATGAATGAAATAGTAAATAATTTAAACAAGACAAGCTGTTTGCCAGTAACACCATATCCTGGAAACAAATAAATTAACATCATGGTTTTAGGAGTCATTCCTCCCAGGGGAGCAAACTTGAAATAGTTTTGACAATTCAAGGGTTCAGTCCTGTGTGTGTGGAGCTTCAGAAAATCTCTGTCGCTTTAGATCAGTTGTCCCCTCTCTCCGAGAGCTCAGTCCCGAACAATCCTTCATCTCCGGACCGGATGACTTCGTCTTCCTTTTGGTCCGCGTATTATTTCTGTATGGTCCACATTGACGCTATAAAAGAGGAGACAAAAATCATGTCATTAGTTTCAAGATTCTCCCACTGCGTTCAGCTACAGTTAATGCTTATTTTTACTCATTTATATTCATATATCATGTCAGCTATAAGACATAGTGTGTCCCTCACCATATTAGGAGTGGTTAACTGCCGGAGTCCCTAAGGCGGCTCAGGGCGCCCTCGCCATGCGCCTCTCCTGCTGTCCGGGCGACGCGCTCTCGTTGTCCTGCCGCGTTTTAAAGTCCTGGATGGCCTTTCTGTTCTGGTAATCAATCAGGGCCATGGTGATCACTGCGTTCCAGCAGTTCTCCTCTCCAGAGCACCGGAAATCGATCTCCTTGTTATCTGTGGTTACGATGGTGAAATAGACAAACTTGCCGGTGCGCTCCACGCAGTCCACCTTCTTGATGGACTGCAGCTTGAGCTCCTTGCCCTTGGAGCGCTTCTGTGTGTCTGCGTAAATGTTGAGGCTGTCCGTGGTCAGGACGCACGTCTTTCTCTTCCAGAACTGGAGCAGGCTGTCGCTCCTCTTCTCCAGCTCTCCCTCCTTGAGGACCTGGCTGATCTCCTCTGCTGACATTTTCATTGTTTATGGCGGGGGGGTTTGTGAAGTCCCTGCTTCCTTGCTGTGTCTACTGAGGAGCCCGAAGAAGGAGCTTCTCTGTAAAGGTTTTGGTAATCCAGAGTGGCGTTGTGAATGAACTAAGGTAGCAGAAGGTTTTATAGCTTACTCTAGCCCGGGCCCTTCCCACTTGACGTCAGATGATTTGGGAATGCATCAACAGTTGCCAGTGGAGTAGGCTAATTCAAGGCTGTGTGGGCGGAAGCTGTGGCGCAGGCAGGGGGAGAGAGGGCAGAGGAAGTCCTAACGTAGACCTAATTACACCGGCAACATGTTAATTACTAATCCACATCCTGCTGCGGAGATTAGACCAAATATTTGCCCACTTTGCAGTAAGTGATTCAGTCTAATATGGTTAATTACAGATGTGCTCTGAGTGAGCTGAGCACATGCATAAAAATGAGTCTGGCGACCTAAACCATTAAGATTATCATTAATTTCTGAGGTATTTTTAGATTCACATATAAAGTTTATGATCCAAACTTTTTCCGTGACAGCCTGGTAATTCATTCCCTTTATAATCTTTCAGTGTGCCAAATAGGTGCTGTGCCACCCTGCTCCCTGGTGCTTCTTTGAAAAGGTACTTCAGACTAAACCTGTTTCATTTGAGTGGTGCTTTACATAAACTCTGCTATTCCTGTCTGTGGATGTCAAGCTGCTGAAATGCACCGAAACAGCCCACAAGCGCAGTTTCCATTCGGTGAGCAGAGGATTCATCAGACTGTATGTCAGCAGAGAAAGAGAGTGGGTTTAGAGGTTTATGCAGTTCCTTGAGCAGTTACAAAACCCAACCACAGACAGAAAGCAAGCAGAGAGCGCGTTTTAATGAACATTTAAGATGGTTCCACATAAAAACCTACATTTCCCTGCTGCCTTAAAAGTTAACTGAAGTAAACTGGATTATTTAGTTTAAAGTCGTCTCATGAGCAGTGAATCTTTCTGTTTTTAGTTCCTCTGATTGAGGAATCAAGAAGTACTGAGACCAAAACAATGCTTTTTATGAGACAAATACTAATTTTCAAATCTTTTTTCAAACTACAAAAAGCAGAATTCTCAAACAATAAAAAAAACACTTTTAATGAGTTGAGTGAACTCTCAGTAGTTGATTAGTTCAAGGGTCTGAAAATAAAAACCAAGTAGAATTAACTTTAATAATACATATATTAACATTAACTGAATGACACTACCACTCATTTCCTGTATGTTTTTACAGTGTGTTTAAAGAATGAAACGAGAAAAGAAAAAACAAAGTTAAGTTATAATTATGTCCTATTTTTTAGTCATATGATTGTGATGCAACCTGAAGTAACTGAACAATAATGAAAGTTATGTTGAAAGAGTCAGATGTGCCACTCCCACTATAACTGCCACTTGACTAAACAACTGACCACCGTGTCACTGACCTCACTGGCTCAGTCTTGGTTGTTCATGTCTGACAGTAGCAGACTTTAGATGTGTGTCACTGAGCTCCTGGAGCCTGAATGCAGATGTCATCGACTTCTTACCCTGCAGCATGCCCTGTCCTGCTGGGGGAATCATCACCCACACAGACACCTAACCCCAGAATCCAGAGATAGAGTCTCCTCTCACATAAAACACCCCCAGTTTCCCCACAGGAAATGAAATGTCTCACCATTAATGTCTCATCAGCTCATACACCAGTTCTCCAGAGTTCTCCAGAGTTCTCCAGTAATTTAATAACTGGGTGACCCTTTGTGCCCCCCACGAGTTAGAGAGAACCACCCTTGACTTCACACATCAACGCTACTATGATCATACAGACATTTGAAAGCAGAAAAGGCGTAACCATGGTGAATCACTTTAGGAATCACTGTGCAAGCCCTGCATTAGTACTGACACTGGAGCGGGATGTGGCGGCCAGTTTAATCCTCTGATCTCTGAAAGAAAAAGAAACCACATGTGTGTATTGAGTCAAACAGCATCCGTTTACCAGCTTCTTTATTGCCTGTCTGTGTGTGTGTGCACATGTGTGCGTATATAGGTTTTTGTCTGAAGGAGTACTGCGGTGGAGACACACAGACATGCCCAGGCAGTGACTCAGCATGTGGTGCGTTACTTTGGAGGAGTTTGCTTGCAGAAGGAGGGCCAGGTGTGTGTGAGACAGAGTGTGGGGCTGAATATGTTGTGTCTATCCGTGTGTGTGTGTAAGGATCATCATCCCTGTGAAGAGGGTTGGAGAATAATGAAATAGATACAGCAGTGGTGTTAATGTTAGTTGGTGTTTCTGAGAAAAGTAAAACATGGTTAACATTCACAAAGCAGCCCTCACTAGTTATGTATGAATATGATCCATATTCAGTCAGTACACCTTCAGTTTTCTTTAAATTAAGTGTTTTGGTTGACATTTTATTCCTTTCATAAGCCCTACACACATCACACAGTGTAATCAGCGACAGCCAAACTGAAGCACTCAAACCTTTACAAAGCACTTACTGTAGTGACTGTTGAGTTACAACAGCAGTAGCCAATGTTTCCCTGTTTTCCTTGTTTTTCGGGCTTGTGGGAAGGTGTTACTACTTTTTCTGGAGGGAGTCAGACTGTGTGATGGATCTCAGGAGGTGTGCTTTGACAACCTTGGGTTCGAATCAGGGCCCTCCGGTTCTCACTGTCTCCACACAGACAAAACAAAACCCCCAGAGACACACACTGAGATAGTGAGAACGGAAGTAAGATTATGTGTCATCTGTGACAACTAAGGAGGGTTTGATTTACAAAATAAGCAGATAAAATGTGAACTACTGAGCACAACGGTAATTTAAAAAAACAACTACATGTCTGTTGTTGTTTTCGTCTTGTTTGCTTGAGGGTGATGGAGTTTTGCAGCCATGGGCACATGGGTGTGACAAGACAGCAGGTGGAAGGACCAGAAAGGCCCAGAGTTTGGTTGTCGTGTCGGGACATGAAGCTTCTAAGTGTTTATTGTGAGTCACAGCGCACAAAACACATTAATACAGAGGAAGTCAACTCATTGAACCCTGCTGGAGGTCATTTGTTTAGGTTGAAAAAAAGTCATTATGTGTGAGAGATTAATATTCTATTTATATTATTTATAAATAATAATTACTTTTTTTGTGGGGGGGCGGGTAGAAAATAAATGTACTTTGTTGAAGCCATTGTGAACACGTAACCATAGAATGGGATTCAAAAGGATTTGATGACTCATTATTGGACAATTGGAATGTATTATTTATAATTTTTATAATAATAATGAATAATAACAGATTTTCTGGCCACTTGGCAATGGAAACAAACCATAAACAACAGTTGTATTTCCACATTTCCAGATAAGCAGCACTGTTGTGTTTCTGGCCACCTGATGATAAGTCCAACATTCACACACATTTTAGCTCTGTTTTACTCTCCTGGGAGACATATCTGGCTCTTTAGCTGCTAAATGTTCCACTATGTTGTGTTTTGTCTCTGTCTGTTGTTTGGTGCTGAGCAGGTAGTGTACAACCAGTTTATCAGAACTGTTTGCAGGAAACAGCTGCTATGTGCAAAAACAATGTTATCAGAGCAGTAGAAGTGAACCAAAACAGTAAATGGCCAGAAAACTAAAACAATTAGCTAAAAGAAGCTAACACAGAGAGGAACTGCAGAGTCAGGTGATAATTATCTGTGGATTCATCGGTATGAGAGATTCCTTTCCCATAAAAGGAATCTAAAAATATTTATTATAGCTGCTTTAAATTCTAAGTCTAATGCAGATTTAAACTCCCTGATGAAAGAGAGCCCTGGCTAGAACAACAGGAATAAAGGTGTGGACTATTAACTATTAACTGTCACACCCAGCAGTTACACTAAGAACACAGAGAAAGGATGAACGGTAATATCATGGGTACAAACATTGCATAACCTCACATTAACTGTAAATGATAATTACTATATTATTATAAGTGTTCGAATTCAAGTTATTGATTACAGAGGTTATGTTTTTATACAGGATAAATAAGACCTCTAAAAATATTTTGGAAAAGATATTCTTCACCTGCACCCGCACTTTTGCTTATTTCTGCACAATGAATGAAAGTTGTATTCATGCAATTGATGTTTATGTTCCAATGTTAGCCGGTGAAGCCTCTCTCAGACAGTGAACTATACATAGTCAACCTAACAATGGGGAGCAGTATGGATGAGCTGGCTGTGATGGGCCGCTGACAAGTACAGCAGAGCCCACAGGTAACAGCTGCATACTGTGACACGTTTATGACTTTAGCCTGTCTCTCACATACACAAACATGCACACACACACACACACATCCTCTTCTGCTCTTCTGCCGTTTGGTGACATGCCCTTGCGATGAGACTCCGTAGCTATTTGAGGCATTGTTCTGATAAGCCCTGTGTGTGTGTGTCTGTGGCCACACTGGCATGCAGCAGCGTGGGAAAAAGAACAAATGGCTGATGAGGGCAGCGCACAGTCCAACACAATGCGGCAGGAGGAACTGTTGGAGAACAATGAAAACAGACATGGTTGCTTTTATATACTTCTGTCACATTTTTTAGAATTAATCAGCCAGAACTATTAAAGGCCCAGTGTGTAGGATTTAGTAGCATCGCTTCACCTTCCGTTTCCAAGCATGAAGGAGAAACTATGCTGGCTGTGAAATGCGTGAGAAATGCAAACCCTATCTAAAGCTAGTGTTTAGTTTTTCTTTACTGAGCTTCTGTAGAAACATGGCGGTTCAACATGGCGACCTCCATGGAAGGCGACCTGCGGCATCTGCACATAAAAATGTAACAAAAACATAATGATTCAGATTTTCTGGTGATTATACACTAATGAAAACCTACCTGTGAATATTATATTTAATTTCTGCCAATAGATTCTCCTAAATTATACACACTGGACCTTTAAGATCCTTTAACTTAAATTTAAAGTTGGAATACAAGAATGTAAAATACTCAATTACAAGTAGAAATACTGCATTGAACATTTTAGTATAAATGTAAAGTGCAGAAGTATTATCTGTGTTTTGTATTTAAGCATCAGATTAAGTCATCATTATGTAGAATGGCCCCTGTCAAGAGTGTTATTTATTTCAATGGATCATTATTGTTGC